TCAAGTTCTGTTGCAAGGTCAAGGTCGTTATCTGGCGGATGAGGAAGACGGCGTAGACGTCGATCCATCTCGTCCCAAACATGCTCTATCGGGGAGAGATCCGGTGAATTTGCAGGCCAAGGCAGTAAGTCAACGTTGTGGTGTTGCAAGAAATCCATAGCAACCCTTGCCGTATGAGGGCGGGCATTGTCCTGTTGGAATGTTAACCCAGGGCCATGACGTTGCAGAAAAGGAATTGCCACAGGTGGAAGAATCTGATCCCTGTAGCCCACACTAGTTAAGTTGCCCTGAACAATCACCAAAGGTGTTCTTTGGCGTGCTGTCATTCCACCCCAAATCATCACGGAACCACCACCAATCGATTCCTCTCCAAGACACAGGTCTGTGCATAACGTTCTCCCACGCGTCTATAGGCACGTTGACGTCCATCACTATGGGAAATGTTAAACCTGGACTCATCTGTGAAAACAACATTTCTCCACCAAAACAAGGGTCTGCGGACATGATTTCGGCACCACATTCGGCGAGCTTGTCGATGACGTTGTGTCAGGATAGGCCGTATGACGGGACGTCGTGGTCTGATCCCGTGATGACGTAAACGTTGTCGATCTGTCCTGTCTTGGCGTTGTTACACGTGGACGTCCAGAACGTGGCCGATCGATGACATCATTTGTGTTCTGGTAGCGTCTCACTAGTGCAGAAATGGTGTTCCGGTGGCAGTGGAAATGTGCAGCCACTTGTCGTTGAGACATTCCCCCACGGACCATCCCAATGGCCTCATGACGTTGTGCAGACGTGAGCCTTGGCATGCTATGCGTTTCAATAGCCGTTCGCAAGGGCAGGGGTTGAGCTTTCAAAAGTGACAGTATTGTGTGGCATTCATTTACTCTGTTTCTCTTTCCCGGAATGCACGTGCAACAACGTATTGCACGTCTCAAGGACGAACCCACTGACGTCACGGAACGTGGCACGTGCATGCATGTTGGATACATGTCACTAATCTCTGAGTTTAAATCCTTATGTGTCTACACAGGTTTGATAAATTTAGATTTAAATTTTTGTATGCACAGTTTCTTTATGTGCCTAGTATATTACGACTGCCAACTGCTGTGACAACCAAGCATGGTAGTATACTTGGTCCGTCTTGTAAAGTCATATTTGGCGGTCGTGCAAATTTGAAACAGAACTGGTTCTTGAATGTACGCGTGTCACCGGAAATTTGGTACATGAAGTAAACTGGGCCCCGTCTTGCATATCGCAAGTTGGCGCGCACAAAGGGGGCCGGGAACCAGTTTAGTACCGGAAGTAGCGCCTCGCGACACTTACAGTACCTATACCCACCTCAGTTCAGCCCAAGAAGTCGTAGAGCAAGTGTCACCGCCCCTGCACAAGTGTGATGGGGTGAATAGCCATACCCTACACACAGAGATCTCACGTGATGGTGGATCAGGGGAATCTGATACTGTATGCCGTCTCTCAACGTCACCTTCTTCCGTTGATTTAAAGGAGAATACGAGTGAATTGCAATAATTTGCTGGGTGAAACATAAAGTCATCAGAAACATATTCCCAAATGTTCAATTAAAAATAAAAATTATGTATAATTATGTTTTAATCGCGAAAACAGTTTTTGTAAAACTCAGCTTCGGCCATTATGCATATTTCGCTGGAACCCACGTGACCGTTCCGCTCGTGACGTCAAATGTGCCTGGATTCCGCAATATTGCCAAAGACCAAGCGCTACAGTAGTACAAATCGTGTTGTTTAGGGTTAGTTAAAATTAATGCCCCAATTTATTTTAAAATGAATAAATATAGGCCATAAATGCATATTTTTGTCAACTTTGATATTATGTTCTTCACATAGACATTTATCAGAAATATTACTTCTTAATAACTTTTATCAAAGTTGACAAAAACTATGCATTTACGGCATATATTTAATCATTTTATATAAATTTAACCAAATTAGAAGCTATAAGATAGATATCAAATTCAGTAAGAGATTTCACATGAGCTTGAAAATGTTTCGCTATGACGTTCTTTTTGGTTTGGAGCCCTAAATGCTGCAGACTCCCCGAAAAGTTGCCGAATACAACGGCAAGCATACTTGTTGCTTTCATTGTTTTCCATTTTGTCCAATTACGCACGTCTGCATCAGACTCGCTATTTGTCCGTAGTGTGTGCCGTGAAAGTTGTTCTGTGTTCACATTGGCTGACAAGATGTCATTCTCAGGCTATGACCGAGTACCATAACTATTTCTATAACCAAACACTTGGGAAACATACATTGTCCTGACAAGTATTTTATAATTTACCAGTTTCGGGGAATAACTTATCTGCGTCGCGAATATAATCTCTGCACGACCAGGCTGGGATTTTGTGTGGAGACCTGCTACTATACGGTAGTAATGAGAACTAGGATCCTAATTTGTTTTCAACAAAATAACTCCAGTGTTGTAGCAGATAATTTCTATTTTCCCCCGTCTGAAGCATAATTATTGTGTTTTTAAATCCCAGACACCCTACAGTCACCCATTTGACACAAAATGAACTGCAATCACATTGCAAAAAAATATCATTCTTAGGGACTGGTCATATACTTATAGGGGTGGTTTGAACTGTATCACATTTTGCTGTCAAATAGTATTCTTGTTAAATGATATGGTATATTTTAAAATATATTTTGAACTCAAGCGGTGCTTCCGTTTCGCTTGATTCTTCTTCTTCATCTTCAGTGGAAGATTGTCTTGCAAGATGTAACATCAGATCGTATTGATACGGTCTTACATCCATTACAGAAATGACATCAGGAACACATTTTACTGCTTCAGAATCCATGGACACTGTTAAGTTGTGAGGTAAAATCATGTCACGTCATACCCCCTCTACTCATTAACTGTCGGGTGTTTCCATAAAAGGCGGAAATACGGAGTACGTTTTTGTGTTTTTATTGCTATTTTACTAACTTTTTGTTCAAATTTAATTACGGAAGGTGACTTTTAGAATATCCTTCACAATATATCAAAAGTTTTTGTTTTCGTTCGGATTCTCCTTTAACAACGTTACGCCACACTGTTCTCCTCCTTCATAATTTAAACTGATCTTCACTCATTAAACCGCCAACATGTGTTTCCATACACTGGCTCCGCGACTGTTTGATAATTTGAATACCATAGACGTACTGTGGTCAGATCATAATGACTGCAGTTCATGTAAAGAGCCTGCAGACTTCTTGAAGCAACAGTATACTCACATCACAAGCTGCTGTGAGCTGGGTAGCACATACCATTTACGTTTCTGTATGCAACATGTTTCCTCGCGTAAAGTATATTACTAATGTATTAATATCGTCTTGAATATAATGGACTGACCTGTTTGAAGGTCAGAGTCAACATACAATTTACAATTCTATCTCATTATTAGCGCAATGATTTGAAATGTTTTCAGAAGATTTCTTTCCAATGGCTGATCATGTATTGTATTTTAAGCATTAGAAAAGGCACAGTAATCAATTGTAACACTCAAGACGTGAGGCTATAATGCAATCTTTCGAAGCTTTTCTGTATTAAGTCGCTTTATACTTGAACTGATATGAAGGTAAACTCTGTAAAAACATGCATGTTACTTATAATTTTATTTCTCGATAACATGTTGTCTTAGGAAAAAAGTGTTAGAAGCTTTCTAAACAATTCATTGACCCACACAATATGAATGAGTGGTTTGGTTTGTTGTTTTACGCCCCAATCATCAATATTCTAGACATGAAACTGCTTGCGGTTGTCTAAACAGCAGCATTCGGGGACGAACTCATTAAGATCTTCAAGAAGTTAGCTTTTTATGCAGTTAAACAGTGTTTACAATGCCGATATATTTGGTACTAATTACAAAGATTATTGAATTCGTTTTATGGACATAAGGGTTGGAAAAGGTCGGTTTGACCAAAATGAGTGAGTATGGTTTTACGCCGCTCTTAGCGATATCACGGCGGGGAAATGTGGGGAATCGAACCCGGGTCCTCGGCGTGACGAGACATCGCCTTAACCACTAGGCTACCCCACAGCCGCGCTTGACAAAAGAAGCTATACAGTCATGATTGGTTAACAATGGACTCACTCACAATGAAGTACAGTCATATAACAGATTAACAGTTATGATTGGATAACATTGGACTCACTCACAATGAAGTACAGTCATATAAAAGATTACAAAATACCATTAATGTAGTTAAAAGACAAATTATTATGGATGGCAACTTCTTCTTTGTTGTGTAAACAACTATTCAAAAAACTATGCAATAAAGAAGAAGTTGACATTCGTAATAGTTTGTCATATACTTGAATACCACCTCTCAAGAACCTCATTAATATATTATCAAATAGGAGAAATAATTATCCCGCGAAAAAAAGATAGAATTGTGATCCTTAGCAACCAATGCTTGTCTTATGTGGCGACAAACAGGATCAGATGGTCAGGCTCCTTGACTTCGATGACACGTCATCATATCCCATTTGTGTAGACCGATGCTCGTGATGTCATATACTTGATTGTCGATGGAAACTCGATAACTAGATTCGAGCTTTAAACAACAATCAAACAAACAAAATGTGATTATCACACGTAGTTACGAGTCTAGTCATTAACACATAACGACCACGAATACTTATGTATGTAACAGTAATTCACAATCGGTAAGGAATACTTATGTCTATGACATACCCGTGAAGATCCCATGCTTGTCGTAAAAGGCGACTAATGGGATCGGGTGGTCGATCTCGCCGACATAGTTGACACATGTCATCGTATCCAAATTGCGTAGAACGATGCTGATGCTGTTAATCTCTGGATTGTCTGGTCCAGACTGGATTATTTACAGACTGTCGCCATATAGCTGGGATATTGCTGAGTGGGGCGTTAACAAACCAGCCAACCAACCAACCAACCAACCAACCAATATGTATGTCACAATAACTAACAACTGGTACAAGTACCCCTCACCACTCTATCCAGTAGCATGAGCTGTACTACTGCCCTTACAACGTCTTGTACTATACATGATTTCAGCAACAAGCACAATCCCAGCCAGGACGACACTAACCCCACACACATAGAAGAGGCTTTGTAAGGCCAGCAGATTAACTCTGTAGGGCCGTCTCCTCTGTTCTTCACATTGGTTCTTGGTCATCCATCGATCGTACCAGTGGCGTACCAGGCCTTTTTCATATATCTGCAAAATCCTGCAAATATACATACAAGAATGAGTATGGTTCAGAGCAAAATGCCAGCTTATTACAACATGTTCAGACAAGTATGGGCTCACAGTTTGGAAATTTAAAAAGGCGTTAAACGATAAAAGTCTTAACCAAGAGGTATCATCAGCAATGGATACAACATTATATGTAAGAAGTTTGGAAGAAACTGTGGACTTAGTAACCTGAATATTTAGTGCATGGGTAAATACGAGTGCTTTTACTTCCATGATGTCACGGCTGGGATAATCGGGAATGCTCTTATAGTTAAACCATGCCTATGAATGAATTCAAATCATGAACAGGTTGTCACTTTCATTTTGTCACTAATTTGTCACCATTAAAGAGGGTTTCCTCAGAGTGTATAGTTCTTGATATAACATCGAAACATTTGGCCAAGCCAGAAACAGACTCTGCTAAATCAAATACCTGCATTTTCCTGAATTAAGTAACATTCTGCGAATAAAAATCAGTTTCCTTATAAGTTTTGTGTAAAGATTCATGCTTCAGGTACCCCAAAACCCTCCACAAGACTGAAGTCACACAAACTGAGCGAAATATCGCACAATCTTCAGTATGAAGAGTTCTTCAGTTGAATACCGGATGTTGGGGAGTCCAACATCCGGACATGCGTCTTCGAGTCAAGTGATTTTTTAATAGTTTTATACAATACTGCTCACGACCAAAGTTTCAAAAGTGTACCCATTACTATTTAACTCTATTAGATTTTGAATTATATGTATATGGGGACCCTGTATGCGAGATGGATTGCACTTGTGTATCTGAGTACAGGCAATGAACATATTTGAGCTCAGTTGTGTTGTGACGTTGATTTAACAGAAACTGTATAACAAAAGGGGTGATTTCAACTTTCTCATAGTCAACTGTACCTTCACGTGAGCAAGTTTTGAAAATAGCACCAGCCTTTGGCGTTTACATTTGACAAAATTTGAGGCATAATCAGACATGTTCTTTTTACCAAGATTTCAAAAAGCGTCATACGAACAATCAAAGATGCAATACAGCTTCCCAAAGGTTTTATGGTAAACATGCCCAGGATATTTCAAAATTTGACGCATCAGTCTTGTACCATACATTCCCATATTTTAAACGCAATTGTTATGGATGACAACTTCTTTATTGTATGTCACAACGTTTCTGGGCTATTCCTTGCCCATTCGTCAGGTGAATTGAAGGAGCAAGGAATAGCCCAGAAACGTTGTGACATACAATAAAGAAAAAGTTGTCATCCATAATATTTGCATTTTACTTGAACACCAACTTCTAAATGCCTGTCAAGAACCTCATTCCCATATTTGTCATGTGACGAATTGACCAGTTTGCATGTTTATGACTGTGCTTCGCAAACTCTTTCGCAAACATCTGGAATCATCACAGATTGAAAGTTATTCATATTCCAAGGCAAACCAGATAACACCTTAATGTGCCAAGCAAAATACATGTATTCTGATAACACACTAAAGTGATTGATTGAGAGAGTTAAAAGTCAAACTCACATTGGAGGTATTTCATTAATTTCGTTAAAGTTATATATTTATAATAAATTCAGTAATACAACACAAAATGCTGTCATTAAAGGACAGTAAAGTCATTAGATAATCACAGATTATGCTAAAGACCAGTGTGTAGTCATGAAACGATATCATTTTGCCGGGATAAAAGAGAGCCATTAATCACCAATAACTAAAGGTAGATAGATCACTTTACTAAAATTTCTTCACCGAGGGTATTGTCCAGTAAGAAACTTTGGCCCTAAACCGTGAAAATATAGATGATGATCCAAATGCAAAGGGGCAGTGGTGTAGCCATGTTGTTTAAACGTTCGCGAGTAACGCCTAAGTCCATTTACCCTTTGCACAAACTGATCTTAGCGCTACGGTTTCTTAAGCCTACCTTAAAGGATGGCGTCACATTAGCACTGAGATAACTTTGTGCAACGAGTCCCTGGATTACTTCCCCTTCCATGTACAGTACGCAAGGGTCGCTCATATTTTTGTTACATTGCTGCAGTAATGCTAAGGGTTGCTTAAACCAATTTCAATCAATGAAACAATTTAGTTTATCAAACAAAAATCAATAAAATTATTGTTACTATACTTACTCATTTGAGAAGATCTTGGTGTTTGCACTGTTGTTGGGAAGACCCACTGCAGCTTGTTGTAGGAAGAACTGTTCTTTCACAAACTGTAAGTCGCAACTGTCGGATAGCCATATTTTAAAGATCGTTTCATCGCTAATGAAAGCATATCGACCATTCAGAACACGACGCAAGTGGACAGCAATATCGGAGTTATCTGCTTCCGGACCTCCATCACTGCTGCTCTCTATCCCCTGCCATATGGCCTGAAACTCGCTCCGATTCGAGTCCTGGAAATAGATGCTACCATAATAATCATCGCCCCATTCGCAAGAATTCGGGTCTGTTATATTTTATGAGTGTTTCACGCGGTGCTTCTTAACACTAATCTGACGTACAGAAGAGAATACACATCTGGTGTTTGGAAAGTAATTTAAGAAAATGGTCCAAAAGAAAACCCTACATGAAAACAAAGGATATATTTTAAAAGTGCTTAGATAATGATTATGAACAAACATTGTATTCTTGTTGCCAGTTCACAAGCCTCAGTGATTGAATGAGTTTAGTTTTACGCCGCTTACAGCAATATTCCAGCAATATCACAGCGGGGGACACCAGAAATGGGCTTCACACATTGTACCCTTGTGGGGAATCGAACCCGGGTCTTCAGTTTGACGAGCGAATGCTACCCCACCGCCCATCACAGGTCTCATTGGGCTGATGGTCTGGCAAAATGGCTATTCGACATTCCAATGGTTCGTTCTCGCTCTGCTGCTGATAATCTTGGCAGGATAAACGTGTGCCAAAACGCCAAGTGAGTACTCTCTTTTGTACGTCAGTCTATTTCTGAATAATAGTTTCTAGTAATTACTGTAAGCTAATTATGAGCAAAGTTGGAACACGTAACACCTTTCCGTCATCATCACTGTTTCGAGAAACTTCCATGATGAGTCGATACTGTACTCTTGTCGACTAAAACCGACCAGCTGAGTGAGTGAGTGATTGAGTTTGAGTTTACGACGCCGTTACCAACATTACATCAATATCACGACGTGGGACACTGGAAATAGGTTTTGCACATCAATGTGGGGAATCGAACCCGGGTCGTGGACGTGACGAGTGAGTGAGTGAGTTTCATTTTAAACCGCTGTTAGCAATATTCCAGCAATATCATGTCAGGGGTACCAGAAATGGGCTTCACGCATTGTACCCATGTGGGGAATCGAACCCGAGTCTTCAGCGTGACGAGCGAAACCTTAAAGCACCAGACTACCCCACCGTTCCTTAAAAGATCATTAGCATTAATTGATATCAGTTCCATAGACCACCAATCACAAGCATTGCAATCATCGAACGTACTCGTCACCGCACGCAAATGTGCCAGTTGCAATCACGCCAACAGCTTTTACACGATCCGTGAAAAGCACATTTTACATCCGCAAGTTCATTCACACACTGAATACAGTAAATCACTTCTGACGATAAGAATAAAAAAGAAGCTTCATATAAATATTGTCCACACACAGATTAATCGACCTTTTTAAAAGTGTCAACATAATTTGTTCACATACTTAGCATTAACATTAATTGTAATTTCAATCTTCAACAAGACGGCCTGTTCGTTGTTATGGATACCGTAAACACTGCCTCATTAGAAAGGCTTCCAGCTGTTTACTGTTTGAGGGACAATCAATATCTCTATCCATAAGTGAGTCAGTAAACAATCTGAGTAAATTCAACGCATGGGAAAGGAAACCAGAAGTGTCGTGCACTTCTTCCGTTAAAAAACACGTGGAAAGCGTATGTTTGAATTCAAAACAACAATCAGCACCGATACGGTTTTCGAACTTTTGACAATATGTTACGGGCATACATATTGGTCATAGTTCTACACAGAAACGTCACAGGCATCCGGACCTCACTGTCAAATGTCATGTGTGATGTACATATGGTTTTACCATCCTTTGCTATTTCTTTGATAACATCCCAGAAGTTGATTCAGTGGAATTTATCTGATCACATACATATCACCGCTGCTGCTGCACACCAATAATACTCAAATGTTATTTGTGACGTGCATGAACCACTGTGAACATTTGATGAATTGGTAAGCTATGTTTAACGAATCTCTGAACAGTAGCTTTTTGGGGAAATAGCTTTCAGTGATACGTGATTGGTAAGTACGAATGATGTCAAATCAAAATGGACGACTGATAACATAGTCTTATTGTTGGACAGAACTTCAATCCAGTTGGTTATAAAACAATTTTGTAGAAAGAACCTTTGCCAATAAAGTGTCTTTTATGCCGTAATGTTTTGAAGTTAAGTACTTAAGATAGTTTGCAATGCTAAATGGGGTGGAGACCAAGACAGTCTGCTCAAAATCTCACCAGCCCATTCGTTAGATCTAAACTTGATTATGGCTGTTCCATATATGGTTCAACTAAAAAATTATATCTTCAAGAATTTGGCACCATTCACCATCAAGGTCTTAGATCGTGTCTGGGTGCCATTTACTGAAAGGTTGGAGCTAATGATCCCAGACAGATAAAAGTAATTTGTAACTTTTTTACCAAATCATCCAATCCTGCATTTTAGTTGTTTTTAATCCTCATGAGACGGTGTACAATACGAAACCGGACTGTAACGCATATTCAATGCTATATAATAGCAGCAAAATTACATATGACTGCAACTGTTGACTTCCAACTGCCTGAAGGGAAACTGTCGTAGTAAGTACTGGCTGGATATGGAATATACAATTATCGACATTGAAAAAGGCTGACACTAACCTCGTATCACATCTTGTTCATCATTTTACATTCAGAATACTGATTAGGTCACAGGCATGGAGTGCATGATCTGTGGTGTGTTACAAATTCATTACATTGTTACATTTCTTGAGTTCGATTGATAGAATACACGTGAATATATCAGCCGCAAATAGAAGTTAATCGTTTCGGTATATAAAATTAATCTACACCATCTGTAGAGTTGTGTTGAATTTGATATACTAGTTCATATATGTTTTATTTTGTGTTCAACGCCTCACTCAGCAATGTTCCAGCTACATGGCAGCGGTCTGTAAAGAATCGAGTCTGGACCAATGATCAACAGCATGAGCATCGATCTAACTGAAAATAGAAACGGTCTGAGAATACATCCCGGGCGAACGCCAATGTTACTACTGAAAGTTTCAGCTTCGGATTCGCTTATCTAAGGCAGAATCATCCTCGATAATCTCCAGGATATACGTTACGTATATAAAACCTTGGAGATTATCGATGATGAGGCAGAATCCGCAGCTTCAAGAAATGTTTTATACTCTTAGATACGTCAGATATCTGTGGTACCAGTAGAAAGGTATCTTACACTGCAAGTCATACAATCCTTGATGAGGATCACCCTCAATGAAACTCCTTGAAGTCCTATCAAGAGCTTTTTTTTGGTTGGAATGTGTGGATTTTGCACTGGTTTCCCGACCGACGCATTTATAGTGTCAAAAATATTTCTGAACTTCTTAATACAGTTTCTAACCACTTAGTGCTTAGCATTTTAAGTTTTTAATTTCCATTTTTCGCCGTTTACTTTGCACAAATGGACTGGATGTGATCCTTGTCATCACTTTCATTTTGAAGGGGAAAATATTCCTACCTGCGATGAGCTTATATATTGCTGATGCGGCCTACAGCACTCACTTACCCACGTACAATGATCGACCATTGATACGGGCTCATCAAGTGTTTGAACCCAGGTGCATTGAGAGGTGATATCAGTGATGGTCCTCACCTTGAAGAGCGTCTCAAAGAATGATCGTCCTACGAGTCCCCATCGATAATTGTCCTGCTGGACCAACTCTTCCAGGCTGGAGAACGGTTGTTTCTGTCTCCCGTCAGTCATGGATGCTATTAGATTTCCACTGTAAGTTGCTGCAAGGATCATCGTGAACAGCAGCCAGGCACTCATCAGGATGCGCGACGACACCGCCGACGGTATAGAATTGCTTCCTTAAGGATGATAAGAGGAATTTGAAACAAACTATTTCAAGATGATAGTGCAGAATTGAAATGTTTCTTTGTATTACCTATTCCATGTGTGGTAGGCAAATCAGTGAACAAGGTTAATGCAATTCCTCATTTTGACTTGTAGCATGACGTTTGACTTGACTTTGCGTGTATTTGTAACAGGTACAAACGATGTGTTTATCTTTACTGGATGTGTTCGTCTTTACGAGAATGACTTGTATTATCAGTGGTTGATAAACACATGCTTACGCTATATAGGGTTTGTCGCTACTATATATGTTCTACAAATGTGTTTCATTTCGCTGAGTGAAATCGATATTGTAAAAAACAATATATATCGACACAATACAGATATCTACCCAAAGCACATGGAGCTATATGTCCAAAACAATTGAAGTGGAAAGTTTCTGTACAAGTTGGACAGAATATTTGTTTTGAATACTCTAGTGCAAACAGCTGGACAATATTAAACTTTTGGATCACATCTGCCCCTTATACAGCATTACCTTAGCGTATTTTATGATAGATTAGATAAGATAACCGACAGTATTATATCCCCAATGACATTAAAAGATGGAAAGTAGAGCTCACCTTTAATATGGTTGAAATGTAATTTGGACATATCATGTGTAAATACATGACACGTTCCAATGCAGTATTATTCACAGACCTATACGTACAAACACGTTGGTGTTATACACTGGAATATACGAAATCCTGTTTCTAAAACTTTTATAAGCAAGAAAAACAAACCATAGACACACCATGTTTTCTCCTGCTATGCATGCAGTGTGCGAAATAGTTTCCAAATTTTGCTAGCCAGTCGGGCTAGCAATGCCTGAAAGTTACTAGCCCACAAAATAATTCACTAGCCCGAAATTTGAATGTAGAAACTAAGAAAAAGATTACAAAAATAGTTGAGAATAAGATATTGTCAGCATGACACGGGTTTCATCATTAAGCTGCTACTGTGATGAACATTTTTATCAGGCCATAATCTTGCATGATTTAGTGTATTATAACTCAACAAGAGGGAGAAAATGATATATTTACAAAATGACCCCATGAAAAGTCACTAGCCACTCGGGCCAGTGACTTTGCAAATTAACTTGCCCGACTTGATTTTTACTAGCCACGGGCTAGCCGGCCAGTGGTTATTTCGAAGACTGTATACATGTCCGTTTTCTGTGTTTGAATGCCCCTTGATCATGCTCATGTACTAAGCGAAATGCAGTGTATAACAAAAAGACGCTTCTGAATAGACTTTCTTCATAGGTCGGTTATGAAATGTCTTCACGATGTTCCCAGCGGGCACACAACGTTGAAACAACGTTGAATCAACGTTGAATTTTGGTTGTTTGGTTGATCAACCTTTCATAAACGTTGATTCAACGTTTATCATGCGACCAAAGAAAGTTAGTCGAGATTTGTTTAGTTGTCAACGTTGTTTCAACGTAAGGAACCAACAAAATGTCAACTAATTGTTTCCTTGGCAAATTTGATACATAATTCATATTGGTAATAGGTTTCCAACTTAGCAACTATCATTTCGGAACATTAATTTCATAAAAGATCAAGATCGAGCTAGTGACACATATAATCTTATATATTGTTTGATTGTGCATCGTCAACGGACGGAAATATTACGTAAATCGCAATTGAAAATGAAAACATCAATGATTTTAGGTATAAAGTCATCAGTTATCCGAATTGCATTACATTTGATATTTTCCCACAAAACTGTCAAAATTGTATAATTCCCGACAATTTGCTTTCAAACACATGTCAGATCGCCTCGTTTGGCCATATCCGGACATGCGCACAATTATCGCGCGCGCAAAGGCAGCTGATCGTTGTCAGTTAACTTTGGCGAAGTTCAACGCAATATCGTTCTATTTTCAACATCTTCACGGCGTGCTGGTGTTTATTTGGTAAGTATGTCCTTTATGTACAATGAAAACGTAGGAATGTTGTTTAAATCTAGCAGGTCAATGTAGCAAGAAACTCCGAATCAGGGCTCATGTTTTATCGCACAAGGGTACCGGTATGTCACGTACATGTTTCTCAAAATTGATGGAAGCCCGTGTATTCCATGAACTTGTTTTGTTATTTTTCAATATATTTGCATGCATATATTTGGCATTTTATTATATACTCGAATAAGATTTTTCCTTTCGTACCCATCACCTGATCTGAATTTTGCAAATATACATTTTGAAATAATCAATGAAGCACATCAATATAAGGGATCATTCATAATGATATGGCTGCGGGTGGGGGTGATGATTGTAGGGGGGGTGTCACCCATTTTGTTCAGGGGAGCTAAGGGGGTCAGCAGTTTTGTACACACGCACTATGTTTAATATGATGCTTAGAAATTATGGGAAGGGGAGAGGTCGTCATAGATATCGTACATGACATGCTGGGTGGGGCGTCACTTATTTCGTACATACACTTTACGGGGGGAGGGGAGGGTAATTCATAAAAATCATCATCACCCCCAAGCCATACATTATGAACGATCCCTAAGGGCAGCTATACAAAATCGAATAGAATTTATCAACATTTTATATTGCATCACATTATTATGAACATTTGTTCGTTTGAATAAGTCTATCAGTTAATTATGCATTGAGCACGCTCTGAACCATGTCAACATATGCATATTATTTGGGGGGAGGGGGTGGAGAATGGCGAAAGGAAATCTTTCTCAGATCATGCAACGAAAATTCACATCAAAATGTCTTGTGCAAGTCTTTGTTAAGGATGAAATTGCATATAAATTATTTGAACTTTAATTTATTTACAAAATGTGTAACTTCACTAATGATTCCTTGATGGGACAATTAACAAAACTGCACTCACAGACTTTCATTCTTACACTTGTTTGGAAGGGATGTAATGATTCATGTCTCTTAAAGGTTAAAATGTTACATACAAAAGAAGTAATTTAGTAAGAAACATTTAATTATGTAATAAGATATAATTTTAATGGAATTTGCAGAAATCTCATCTTCGAAGACTGGGTGGCATCAATTTTGTGGATCACATAAAAGGAGCAATGCTAAGGTAACAAGTTTTTAACATTTCACTTGTTTCCAGCATATCCACCACAAAGGTTGATCATGTAAGAGAATAATTTGACAATGATTTCTCCCGGAGTTGTTTAGTTTAATGAGCACTCCCTTGCTTGGCGCCATATTGTTTTTCGCCGCAAAGAGCTGGATACGAGAAAGCACGCGAGAGGACAGAAGTCAGAAATTTATAGAGATATATAGATGTTTATTGCTGGGAGATACACTCTTCAGGTATTTGGTCAGCTGTAGAATTTGAATATGATGTTTCTTTATTATTGTCAAAGTGTAGGTTTTTCATTATTTTGCATTTAAATGTGTGTGCAGTGAAACATACTGAGATTTGGAAGAGTCCATTATTTAGAGTACAGGTATTGTTAGATATCAGCATTTTATGTACATGTTCCCTTCTCAAGATCATCTATCGAGTATATTAGAGAGAAGGTGTATATTTGTAGCGTTTTAAATCAGAGTTATGTTCAGTGTATGACCTACATTTCAATATGTTCTGGCCACCCGTCACCCCTTTGGTCAAATAGAGTAGGACTTCCATTTCTTGGAATTGAGAGTCAGAGATACACTGTTTCCAAGAATTTGCGTGTGCCAGCGATGTTTGTTTACGAATACATTTAAGTCTTTTTGAGTGTAGATTGGAGTTGTAAGAGATGTTATTCAGTGTCTTATTATTCAGGGTATGATAGATTATTTCTGGCAGTGTAGAGTTTAATCTCATTATTTTATTGTTCATGATTCAGAGAAGCATAGTTAGGACGTCGCAGACATTATAGGCACACATAATTCATTATATGAGAGATTTTCTATGCGTTCCTACAAGAGATTAAGTGTAAACATTTCTGAATTATGAAGAAGTTATTTATCTGAGTTTTATGAGTGTACAAATGACAAAGAGAGACAGAGTAGATAATAGGGAATATATTGTATACTTATGAGAGCTCATTATTGTTTTCAGAACTCCATGATCCATACTTCCTTGTGTTTGGGAATAAATGGTGTTGGAAGACCTCCCACAATAGACTTGTTCTTTCACCTGTGAACCACCACCCATTTTGTTTTCTTATCATTTAATGTAAAATGGCTTTTGTTACAATTTATGACTCCTGTTAGCAAAATTGCTACATCAGTACAACTCCTATTTAATTTGAAATAATCTCTACAGAAAACTAAATCTTACAGAATAAGAACAATCTTCCATTGTTTTGCAGGACAATGTCAAACAATTTGATGTCAAGAATGAATATTGATGGGCAAAACGGCCATTTTTCTTTTAAGAATACAAGGTTGTATTCAATCATCTCTGGTAATTTAATTACCAAATGCAGCATTTTCATCATGACCATAGCAAATAATATATGACAGTAAAGCATCGTCTAATTCATCCTAATTCATAGTCTAATTGAATAATCATATAGCAATTGAGGATTTTCTTTGAAAATGTTTAAGAAAACTTCCATTCCTTTAGTTGTTTAGTTGAAAATATAAATTGTTTATATTTTTCGTCACATTTTGTATTGATGCTGTTCATATGTTCACATGGCACGTTACATCAGTGAAATGAACTTTTCAAGTGATTGATTAAACAAATACTTGAATCATTTTAGACAATATATCTTCCATATAAAATTATTCATGTATTTAAATATAAAATTTCAGAATGTGTCCAATCTCATGGGAATGAGATTGGAATGCATCCGAAGCATATTTCAAGAAAGAGTTAGGAACGTTTCTGAAGTATCCACCTGACCGCCAGGCAGGGAGTGGCAGAAAGAGGAGAAGCTGTATGTCACTTTAATGCTATATGCAAATGATATTATGTTATTATCACAACAGAGATCACTTACAGACTAGGTCATGTGTGATGTTTTACATTATGCTTTAAACCACGTTTCTCTGTGTGCGTTTGTGTTCATAAAGATTTCATAAAAAGTGACTGGTTTTATGTGCTGTCTTCAGGTATAGTTTCTGTTCATCTTGGATCCCTTTCATGGTGAAAGTAATTACATTGTGTTTATTCAGGGGTCCGTCTAATAGCTGAAATTCAGACAAAATGTCTTCTCGGGACAATTTCCACCTTTTCAAGATAACAATACAACAGTAAATAGTTTCTCTTAATTTGGAATACTCTTTTCTTCTTACTGGAATTATACGTCCAACTGACATAAAACTTAAATGAACATTATATTGAATGTGGAATTTTAACCAAGGATTTTATCAGGTAAATATTTTTACTGCAATTTTATGTTTGAACACTGTTTATTGCAGGTAGCTTTTTGGGGTATTTTAGCTAGATGCATGCGTTTGGTGCTACTTTAGTGTAGTTTAAAGATGAAGTGCGAGTCTATTTACAGGAAAGCGTAATACCTCCCAGACACAACCACGGAACAACCCATTTTCAACGTTAATAATATGTCAAACTTCAACGTTGATTCCACGTCGGATATCTACGTCTAAAAAACTTTCATATACAACCCTTTTTTCAACGTTGATAATAGGTCAAACTTCAACGTTGATTCCACGTCGGATATCTACGTCTAAAAAACTTTCATATACAACCTTTTAGTCAACGTTAATAATATGTCAAACTTCAACGTTGATTCCACGTCGGATATCTACGTCTGAAAAACTTTCATATACAACCCTTTTTTCAACGTTGATAATAGGTCAAACTTCAACGTTGATTCCACGTCGGACATCTACATCTAAAAAACTTTCATATACAACCTATTTTCAATCTAATTTCAACGTTGAGGACCAACCTATTCTCAACGTTGAAACAACGTTGATGTGCCTGCTGGGTTGATACTACCATTAGTGTACAGTACATTCCCCGGTGCTTCCAACTAAACTCATTCGCCCGGTGACAGATGACCAAATGGCGGAAACGTGAATACGCCCGAAACATTAACAGTCCAAATGTTTGGTGCAGATGTGGGGTGGATATGTCGGGTGGACGTACAAATACCGTGGGAAGCTTGAATTGTATACTCGCCAGAGTCTGAGATTGCATACGGATACCCGGGAAGAAATATATACTGCTTTTCAGCAGGTACTAGAATCTGTAGAAGTTCCATATCTTATCACTGTTTGCATTGTTTATGGAAAGAGACAAGGCATTTTAGCGGACTGGCACCCCGCACAGAAAAAGCCAGACAATAGTTTCTGCTACCCTAGTTTTACCTTCAATCGTTATATTTACCAATTAAAATGTGAGGGCGTGATTTGATTAAGAAATATCTTCATTACTTTCACGACAGAATATTACTGTACCCTTAGAAACATATTCTTTGTCTTAGGATTCCCTTGAGAAGCATGTCAAGGTTCATTAAAACAAGACATTCCTCATTTTCTTAAGTAAGCCAACGATGTGGGATAACGTTTCAATATCAACGTTGATTTTGTTGATTGTCCTGTACTGGAAAATGTTTGTTTTTATCCATGTACATAGATTGTAACGTGTTTATACTCAAAACTGAATGTGAACTTTATAGTGTAAACACTTTGTTTACAATTAAATTTAATATTTCCTAAGTTGATATACTAAAATCTGTTTGAAAGAGTGAACATGCCTTTCACCTGAAGTATACAGGTAATGGTGTCATGTCCGAGTATGAAGAACAAAGACCCAACATGTCCTTCTCAACCTACCTTCGTACACAAACGATCAGGTGAAAATTGTGTGTGTCTCTGCTTCTCTGAAAAATTACTGAAATTGGGAATTGATGCCACTTGACAAACTGACTGACTGAGTTTAGTTTTACGCCGCTTTTAGCAATATTCCAGCAATATCACGGCGGGGGACACCAGAAATGGGCTTAACACATTGTGCCCATGTGGGGAATCGAACCCGGGTCTTCGGCGTGACGAGCCAACGCTTTAACCACTCAGGCTACCCCACCGCCCCACACTTGACAAACACATTTCAAACTAAGTCAGAGGGTTATTAGCAAAACTGAATAGACACCAACACCATAAGGTTACAACTGCAACGAAGCAAACATGGTGAATGCTACACAGAACGTACCTTTAGACATGAGGGCGGCAAACACGTGAAAGACTGCATCTCCATAATACCTCAAGTTGTCAACTGGCCTGTTCGAACTCATCATCTCCATGAAGAGCAGGAAAACGGTTGTCAAAACGACAGATATAGCTATACATATTAGGACCATGTACTGGAAGGGGGAGACAAGCGTCAGCAATGTTGTTGCTGATGGCGTCTGTATGATGATGCCCATGTTGGTGTAGAAGTAGGGAACAGTGAAATCTATAACTTCCTCTCGGGATTTCATGACTGCAAGGGGTGCAAGAACCAAATCTGCTTTCTGCAAGAAACAAACACTGGGAAATGTTTCCATGTAACACACAAACAGATAAGAGTGAGTGAGTTTAGTTTTACGCCGCACTCAGCAATATTCCAGCTATATGGCGGTGGTCTGTCAAAAATCGAGTCGACCAGACAATCCAGTGATCAACAGCATAAGCATCGATCTGCCCAATTGGGAACCGATAACATATGTCAACCAAGTCAGCAAGCCTGACCACCCGATCCCATAAGTCGACAAGCATGGGCTACTTAAGGCACATTCTATTCCGGACCTTCACGGGTCCAACGTATATGTGTTATTAAGGATATTCATGAATGTGTAAAAAGTGACGTTCGTAACTTTCTTACATGTATAAATGAAATAATGTCATTGTCATTACATTGTACATTATTTTTCAGGAATTCGAACATTGGTGCGAAATTCCGTGCCGAGATCCTTCCTCCTATTGTAAGATGATGCCAAAGGACAATAATATCATTTATCCCAACCTTTTCCACAAGCATCCCAATTAGACCCGTCCATGTTCCGTTGACGTGAGCCCCCCATTCACCATCCTCTGGCTCCACAGTGGTGTAACTGGAGGTGACAATACTTGCATGTTTACATGTTGTGGTTGTGTGAATTTGTTCAAGAAACCATAATATCAACGTGCAATTGATACAAGATATACATTAATACAAACCAACTCATGTGTTATGAATAATACTTAGTCTGAATCTGTCGGTCAGTCGTGCAAGAAAATACCTACCTGAAATTTAGCCTCCGTGCTAGTTCGTTTAGTAGATCTATAGAAACTCCACTGAAGATGATAGAATCATTCATCTCTCTTCGGAACACAAATGGTGGACTCTTAAATTATAACAAATACCAGAATTTAATGGGCAATATAATGTCATACAGTGAAACCAAGTTAGTATTACTGAAACAAACCACCGGACTGAAGCAAAGGATACTTTTTCGTCTGTGACTAGTAATTAATAATTTGCCAAAGTAGTTTGATTAAACGATTTCCCAAACACCTGCGACATCGTGTGACATTGAGAGATCTGTGTAGTTTGCTAAAAATCTATTTTGTATAAAACAAAATATTAATGAGAGCATCATAAAAAAGTATACCTTTGGAAACACAGACCTCATAGCCGAGACAAACACGCGACAAAAATGAAAATGTGGTCAACAGAACATATGCAGCCACCCGACAGACCATAAAAGCGCCACTGCTTTCTGAAGGCGACGTCACTGAGTATATGATTTTGACTACCAGTGGTCAATCTTCCATTGTGTGCGGAAGCTGCGATGGCGGAGTGGGTTAGATCGCTGTCTTTGTGTGCAGGCGAATATGTACCTCACTGCGATAGTCTGGGTTCGAATCCCGGATGCACCTAATCTAAAAATTATCAAAGGCTACATTATACTTTATAAATAGTATTGTGTATGCAATGACATAAATGTTAAGAAACATCTGTTGTTGAGTTTAGATCTTGCTGAAAGTGAACATTTGTCTCAAAATCATACATAAATCATATTTAATTGTATTACCTCCATCACAGCAACGGTAAGAGATTTGTTATGAAATCCATATTTCTGTCTTGGAAATAAAGTTTCTCTTATCACCAATTCTTCGTTGCTTTTAAAGGCGCCTACTTCATGTAGCTCCCGTGTGCACCTGGTTCCGCTCACCGAAAGCAGCTTAACAAACGAGATTGCATCATCCTTGGCGATCTCCTGCAAAAAAGACGTCAGCTATCTTCAGGCGATACATACAAAAGCAGCTCATGGTGAGTAAGTGAGTTTTACGCCGCACTCAGCAATATTCCAGTTATGTGGGGCTGTCTGTAAATAATCGAGTGTGGACCAGACAATCCAGTGATCAACAGCATGGACAGTGTTCTACGCAACTGGGATACGAAGACATGTGTCAACCAAGTCAGCGAGCCTGACCACCCGATCCGGTTAGTCGCCTATTACGACAACCATGAGTCACTGAAATCAATTCTAACCCGGATCATCACGGGTCCGGGAGAAATTAGATATTTCGGGAATCTGTTAAGATAAATGGAATAGAAAGATATTTTCAACATGTAATAATACTCCATGAAAAAACTTGCTACACGTGACGTCCATATATGATGAGGATTAATCAATTGATGTGCCATAATAATTATCAACAATGACAAAAATAATGAACAATAATATAATAAGGACATCAAAGAAAATAACGATCAGCATACTCAGAAGAGGGAGACAATTTCTTTCACTCATTAACAGACGTCCTGTTTCTGTTATTGTCTGTAGTTGTTTAAGATTCAGGTTTTATGTTTCTTAAAAATATATGTCTCATTCTCTCACATTCAGGTCATCTCTCATATGGCAAGGAGAATGGTAGCTATGCGTCGCCTTCACGATGACCACCTGAGATATCTTGATGGTCACACGGGTATTCCCGATGTCCCCCGCAGTCCCTGAAGTAGGTATGACCAACCATCTGGACATCACCTGCCTTTTTTGCTCCATCAAGTTGGTCTCCACCCAATGAGCCTGGAAACAAATGTCAGTGAAAGATGATCACATTCATAATATAAGGACAAGGGAAATTCTGAAATAATTGACACTATCGATGTTGTGACATTTGCTTACAGCGACAAATTCGTCCATTATCGATAGAACACGACTAGAACCACTTATTCATATATTTGCACTTCGTTAGGTCATTAAAGTGTAAACATTTACAGAATCAATACAGAGTTTGGGATAATTTGTTTCATTATAGCTATATGTCGAATCGATTTTATTGACTAATTCATTTGTTGCGTGTGTTCATTTCGTAACTGTAACGGTAGTTAACCAGTTCTGCAAGACATGAGGGGCGGTGGGGTAGCCCAGGGGTTAAAGCGCTCGTCACTTCAAAGACCCGGGTTCGATTCTCCATATATTCCAGTAATATTACGTCGGGGGACACCAGAAATGGGCTTCACATCATGTTGGGAATCGAACCTAAGTCTTCAGCGTGACGAGCGAACGCTTTAACCTCAAGGGGCACCAATGAAGGGCCACCTCCTCGTGGTGGGTGCTGGGTAACGCTAAGCGCCCTTCAATCCCCCGTTGTGGACCCGGGGGAATATTTGGTCCACCAACCCGTTTGCCGTGGGTTGCGCCCCTGTGTCGGTGGAGGACGGGAGTCTGGTGGTTGAGGGCATTGGTTCCAGGATTAGCGTTCCTTTGCCCAACACACCACTTCGGCCCTTACTTCACCTAGACGGGTGGTAGAATGGGCCCGGTTCTACCAATCGGCTGGTCATGCCAAGCCCTGTGCATGGTAAGTTCGTTGCACAAAATTTGATTTGATCTTTTCCAAAATATATGGTTTGATCTTGGCGATAAATATTTGGTGAAAATATGATTACTGATTTGTTAAATTGCCTAGAGTCCTATGCCAGAAGGCGGTGGCTCATGGGCCAATCCGGTAGGACATATCTTTTTAAGATTTTTCCTGCTTGAGTATACCCTCCTAGTATCCTTGGTGTCGTCTGTTGGAGATCCATAGACATGAGACATCGTCCTTGTTGACACTCCGTGGTGGGTGAGGATCTAGGAGGGTGAAACATATATATTTCAATCATGGCACCCCCACACAAAAAACGTTCCTACGAATCTGATGATTCGATTTCCTCAGAGGATGAGCTTCCTACATCTCTCACCAGCCCTGACAATTGGCCTCATTTCCTCGTCATGTGTGCTCCTGATGGTGGCCCTCTCAAGTTGAACCCATTTGCTGTGGCAAAGGGCATTGAAGGTTTAGCCGGTGATGTTAAGGAGATTAAAAAGCTACGATCTGGTTCTTTGCTCATTGAGTGTAAGAAACAGATACAATCTAAACTTCTGCTCAACACAAAATCGTTGGCAAATGTTCCTGTTGAGGTGTCCCCTCACAGGACATTGAATACAAGCAAAGGCATCGTCCGTGATATTGGACGTTGTCTTGCTGATATGAATGAAGTTGATATCGTGGTAGAATTGCAGTCACAAGGACTTACTGATGTTAAACGGTTCACGGTCAAAAAGAATAACGAGATTATCAAAACAAACACCTATTTATTCACTTTTTGTCTTCCAGTTCATCCCACATCTCTGAAAGCAGGTTATTGCAATTTGAGGGTGGATACATTTATTCCTAACCCCTTGAGATGCTTTAACTGTCAAAAGTCATGGGTCCAAGTCCTGCCACAGTCCAGCTGCTTGCCAACGATGCGCTGGAACATGCCAGGACAGCAGTCTGTGTGACAAACCTCCTGTTTGTGTCAACTGTTCTGGTTGCCACCCGTCTTCATCCAAAGAGTGCCCTACATGGAAATTGCAATCTAAAATTTCGCGGGTGAAACACGAGCGCAATATTTCATTCTTAGAAGCGAAAAAGACTGTTCTTGCACAAGAACAGTCTGGTCCGACTTATGCTACCACCGTCTCTGCTTCTACTAAAGCCTCGAAACCGAAACAAGTTGAATGTACTTCAGTCGGATGCCAGACAGATTATACCTGGACTTCGACTTCTGCTCCCACATTGCTGTCTACTAAAATCCAGGTGAAACCATCTCAAGTGACGTCCTGTTCCCAAACCATGTCTTCATCCAAAAGTATCATTCAGTCCAAAGCATCTTCTGAGATGGATACATCAGCATCTCAGAAACAATCATCTAAACCAGAGACAACCGTGAAAAACAAGTCCAAATCAAACACTGAACAGTCCAGAAGGAATCAAAGTGGCAGAGCCCCAAAAGGGGCCAAAAACCCGATCCAAATCTTTAATAAGTTTGGATCCCTTGACAACATGGATGTGTCCGAACAAGACCATGGTAGGACACATAGCTTGTCGCCTTCAAGGAAGGTGAGGGGTAGATCCCCAGTCCATCCTCCGAAGACATAATGTCCTCACACATAATACAATGGAATTGTAGAGGACAGGAATAATTTAGCCGATTTACAGTTACTTGTCCAAGATTTTAAGCCGTCAGCGTTCTGTATACAAGAAACCCATCTGAAACAGACAGATACTTTTGACCTCCATCAATTCAATGCATATCACTGTTTTTCTCCTCGGGGTGATAGAGCTTCTGGTGGATCATCCATCCTGGTGAGGAACAATATTATCCATAGCTCAGTTCCACTTAAAACAAATCTTCAAGTCGTTGCAGTCCGACTCTCATTACAGGTTGCTTTTACTTTATGCTCTTTGTACATTCCGCCATCATCAGCTGTTCAACTAACCAATCTGCAAGATATTTATGATCAACTACCTAAACCCTGTTTAATCATGGGGGATTTAAATGGCCACAACCCACTCTGGGGTGGTATTAATACAAACACCAAAGGTAAATTACTGGAGGATTTTATTTCAAATAATGATTTATGCATTTATAATGACGGTTCACAGACATATTTACATCCTGGCACAGGAACATATTCAGCTCTTGACTTGTCTATTACTGACTCTAACCTACTGAGTGAATTCGAATGGTCGGTCCATGACGACCTCTGTGGAAGTGACCATTTCCCAACAATACTGACACCTGTGAATCCATCTGATGTTCCTCCATCGTCAAGATGGAATTTTAAAAAGGCTAACTGGCCTTTATATGAAGCTCTCTGTGCTGACAATCTGAAACCTGAACTTTTTAATGACATTCCTGATGCCATAAAATGTTTTTCAGATGAACTAAATAACATAGCTGACGAGTGTATCCCAAAGTCCTCTGCAATTCCTCACGTACGAAAACCATGGTTTACCAATGACTGCAAACAGGCTAGGAAGGCACGGAAGAAAGCCGAGCAATATTTCCGTCGCCATCCTATGGTCCACAATTTGGACAAATTAAAAATTTTAAACGCCAAAGCACGACGTACTTTCAAGCAAAGTAAACGTCAATCTTGGCGAAACTATATATCAAAAATTAATTCGCGCACACCTATATCAAAGGTGTGGAATATGATCCAGAAAAGCAAGGGTAAGGGCTCTAAATCTAGCATCCACCATCTAAAAGATGGGAACACATTATTGACTAGTAAATCCAGATATTGCAAATAAACTTGGTGAGACGTTGGCCAAACATTCTTCCTCAGCAAATTATGTACCTGAATTCCAAAAATATCAAAAACAGCAAGAAAAGAAAGCTATTAATTTCAATTCAGATAACGGGGAAGACTACAATGAAACCTTTTCGATACAAGAGCTTCATACTGCTCTTGATCAGGCTTATGATACTGCTTCTGGAGCTGATAACATACATTATCAACTCCTGAAGCACTTGCCAGAGTCATGTTTGGAGACACTGTTACATATTTTTTGATGACATTTGGACAACTGGAAATTTCCCTTCGTCGTGGCGTGATGCTATAATTGTGCCCATCCCTAAACCTGGACGTGATCATACTGATCCCTCTAATTATAGACCAATTTCACTGACAAGCTGCGTTTGCAAAACCATGGAACGTATGATCAACAATAGACTTGTTTGGTACTTGGAAACCAATAACCTTATAACTAATATACAATGTGGTTTCCGTAAAAACCGTAGTACCATCGATCATTTAGTACGTTTAGAGTCTTTTGTAAAAAATGCCATAATTAATAAACAACATGCAGTGTCGATCTTTTTTGACTTAGAAAAAGCATACGACACGACATGGAAACATGGGATTTTAAAAGATTTACATGACTTTGGATTACGAGGCCGTTTGCCTCAATTTATATCCAACTTTTTAAATGACCGTCAATTTCAAGTCCGAGTGGGTTCAACCCTGTCTGACCATTACAATCAGGATCAGGGTGTCCCGCAAGGCAGTATTTTGTCTGTCACCTTGTTTAGTATCAAGATAAACAGTTTATCCAAGGTTTTAAACGATTCAATTGATGGATCACTTTTTGTGGATGATTTTAATATTTCTTGTCGTGGTAAAAATATGCATACTATTGAACGGCAATTGCAGTTGTGTTTAAATAAAATAACTAAATGGTGTCTTGAAAACGGCTTTAAATTTTCCAAGTCCAAAACTAATTGTCTACACTTTTGTAGAAAATATAAGCCGCATAAAGATCCAGAATTATCTTTAAATGGCACTCCCATCAAAGTTGTTAAGGAGGCCAAATTCTTAGGTCTAATTTTCGACTCCCATTTAACCTTTTTGCCGCATATTAAATCACTTAAAGCCAAATGCCTGAAGGCACTCGATTTGTTGAAAGTTGTTTCCAACTCAAAGTGGGGAGGGGGATCAAACTACCCTCCTTCACTTATACCGATCATTGGTACGATCTAAACTTGATTATGGTTCGATCGTATATGGCGGAGCCTGTAAAAGCAACCTTAAACTACTTGATTCTGTTCACCACCAAGGTCTAAGACTCTGTCTTGGATCATTTAGAACTTCTCCAGTTGATAGTCTCTATGTTGAGGCAGATGAGCCTTCTCTTTCCCAACGCCGTATTAAATTATCTTTACAATATATTACCAAACTATATTCTAACGAGTCTAACCCTGCATTTAACTGTGTCTTCACTCCTCTTTATGAGGATTTGTATAACAAAAAGCCTTCTCTTGTTCCGCCTCTTGGGCACCGAATTAAACCATTCCTTTCTGCTGCTGGCATTGAGCTGGAGAATATATCTCCTTCTCGTCTTCTTTCTTCTCCTCCTTGGCAATTAGTGAGGCCAGACGTTGACTTAACATTAACCACATTTAAAAAATCCGAAACTAATGATTTACAGTATAAACAAGAATTTAGTCAATTAAGAAATAAATATAATACCTATAAATCCTTATATACAGATGGATCCAAGGATGGTGGCGCGGTTGCTTGTGCCACTGTCATTGGGTCAAAAACAATATCTTCCAGACTACCCAATGACTGTTCAATTTTCACAGCAGAAGCAAACGCAATACTAACAGCTCTTAAATATATTAATAAACACCGTAAATATAAACAATATATCATCTTTTCCGATTCTCTTTCGTGTCTTCAGGCTATTAAAAATCTTTCTTGCAAACATCCACTTTTATTAGAAATTATTGAATTGTACAATGAACTTGCGACTGGCCAATGCGACATCGTCTTTTGTTGGTTACCCAGCCACGTTGGCATTTCTGGGAACACACTGGCTGATCTTGATGCTAAGGCAGCACTCAACAAATCTGTGACACCACTTCTGATCCCATACTCTGATTACAAAGCTGCTATAAGATCTTATATCCGTGATCTGATGCAAAAGAAGTGGGACACCCAAGTAGGAATTAATAAATTACATGCAATAAAACCCTACATTGGTTACACCTACTTGGGTTGTCAGTCCAGATTTGAAGAGGTCATTATGCGACGATGTCGCATTGGCCATACCAGATATACTCATGAATATTTATTGAAAGGCGAGGATCCTCCGTTTTGTATCCCTTGTCATGAAAGGATCACAGTCCAGCATGTCTTGCTTGACTGCATTGAATATTCCATCTTAAGGGATATCTATTTCAAATCCACAACTCTGAAGGATCTTTTTAATAATGTCAGTTCTCATTTAATTATTGCATTTTTAAAACAATTAGATTTGTTGAGTGATTTGTAAATAGATATATATTTTATTATTGGTAGTTTAGATTAGCAACTGAGATTGTTAGTGGGGGTTGAAGTATTGTAAAATTATTGTCCTCCTGAGAGGGTACGTAAGTCCCCAAACATTTAGTCAATCTAAGTGTACTTGCTTTTTAATCGTAGAATAAGTGTGTTTTTAAT